GATAACTTTGGGGCTGGCAAAACGTCCAGCTATGCTTTTGTGTAAAGTAAGTTGTGAACGTCATCGTCAGATTTGCAGGATCATTTCTCTGGTCCCGCTCCTTTTTTCCATTTTTGAGCAAAAGCGAAAAACTCCAAGTATCAGTGGTTTGCTGATAAAATTAATATTGCACAATGAACTTGGTCTAGGTAGTGCTGAACATTCCGATGTAATCCAGAACCCCTCCCAGCAAACAATTAAGGCGTGGGAGCCAAAGGCATGATGATTATGGTGTGTTCTCCCTAGTGACACACACCATGATCATCACGCCTCCTCAGTGGGTGGGCGTGGGGAACCCCCATGAGGAAGTCCATGATGGGGACTTCCGAGACAGTGGCTAGAGGGAGCTGAAGCACCAGGCCTAGAAGATGGCTGCTCCAGTAAATTCGTATCAGTGTTGACACTGTTGAGTGAATTCTTGTTGTCTGTGTGGAACTGCGCTTCAAATGGAAATTCCAGTTAGAGATCCTACCCCAACCTTCAGCCAAATTTAAAAACTGCGACGGAAGATAGTTGATCTCTTATCTTTGAACTAATTTCCGCGCATATTGTGTTCAAGTAGTTTTGTGATGTTTATTCATCTATTTATTGGAGGATGGTGACGTCTGGTCCGAATATTCATTGTGTTCCACTCGAAATTGCTGTGAAGGCATCAGCGTACAAGATTGCTGGTTGATTCCATCCCGCAATATTTCCGTCATTGGATGAAATGAAGGCTTTGCCTTGCGCTGAAAAAATTCTGCGGCATTTAATCCAGCTTCGTTTGAGTCAAACTTTCGTTTTGCCGTGCACACAGACACAGAGGTACAGTATGATTGCCTGTGAGAAATATGTTGAGATTCAAGTAAACAGTGTAAAATTTGAACATTCGTGGACATATTGCTGTGAATGATTCCCGAGATTTTCCTAAGAAATGCGCTAAAATTGCTCAGAATTTTCTCCTGCGAAGATTCTTACGCATTTGAATTCTATTTCTGAAAAATGTGTTCGAGAATTGTTCCGAGTTTCACTTTTGGGGTAAACACGGTTGTTTTAAATTTTTTTTCTTTGAAAAATGTTAGTACAGTACTGGGTCTGTAATTTTATATTATAGGAATGAGTCACAGTGTTCCTGTACCACCTCCTCTTCCAGTGTTGGATATTGGGGAGAGGAAGGTTTGTTCACCAGTACCTAAACCCTTGGACCTTTGGGATGAAGCTGCTAGAATTGCACAGAAGCTATCTCTGGAAAATCCGAGTGAACCCGATCGAGAACCCTTCATCTACAGTACTTTGGTTCTAAAGTTGACATCATCACCCCTGTGCTACAACAAGGGCCGACGTATGAATTTTATGTCTCATCAAGGTTTCGAATTAAGGATTATTGAGCTTAAATGAAAAATTGTTGAGCTTTAAGTCTAGTCTAGGTTGAACGGAAACTTTTATATGCATGGTCCTTGGGTTCTTTGAAATTCAATTTGGAAAACAATGAAGTGCGAATGGATTGATATTGAACGAAGCTGTCAACAGAATCTGAGTTACTATAACTTCGCATTTTTTTCTCGCTAGAGTATGTTTGTGTTCGATTCTTGAAATTTAATTTGAAGGGTTTCTGTGTGATGATACGGTTTTTTTTATTGTCCCTTTTCTTGAAACAGTCTTCGATGAAAAAATTGAAAAAGGAAATTAATTAGGAAAAAATCATGCTCTATGTCATGTTTGTTTTGCCCTTTCGCTCTGTTCATCTCCCAGCTTTAAGCACAATTTGTTATGCAAAAACGTGTCATTTATTTGTCGAATTCATATCAGTTGTGGCCTCGTGGCAGCGGAAATGGCAAGCAAAATGTTACCTCCGGACAGTTGTCTGTGGAAGACCTCCTTGTTCATTGTATTTGAAAGAAAACGACCACCCATGGCAAAATGTTTTCTGCGGATTGGCTAGGATCAGCTGTTGCCGATTTGAACCCGAATTCGAGCTTCTCTGTAGAAAATTTTAATGATTTTGAGTCGATTTTCCTGCATTTTTACAAGCGGGGAATCCGATTCTCATTACCTGAGTTTGACAATAACAAAATTGGCTGATTTTTAAGACAGCCAGTCAGATTGTGATGTTCTTCTTTGCTTCATTTTAGCTATGATACCAATGCCAATCATCAGCCGGCGTTGTAACAAGGTCACAAGGCTCATTGGGCAGTAGTTTTTGCTGCTGTGATGATCCCTGGGTCATCTGATGTAGTCCATCATCAACCAGAAAGGACATGGTTATTGGCCTTGCATGGGAAAAGCTGCCACGTCCAGGTGTGGCAGTACGCCGATTTTCTTGAGAGCAACCTCAATTTGTCGGAAATTAGCCCAGAAAAGGCTGACTATTGTGTTCCTGACGGTGGGATTGAGGAAGGTCTCAAGGGTAAAATTATTCTGTTGAAACTGCGCTGATTGGACCTCTGATGCCTCATCTATACCTGATGGAAATTGGCAGCTTTTGTGGTTGTCTGTTTGAAATGATTTTTCTTTTGTCTTGTCAAAAAGTGTGTGGGAAATTCACTTGATTATATCCAAGCAGTATTGCAAGTATCATGTGCCTGTTTTGTAAACTTACAGCATTCATGTTTGGCTGATATTCCTGCACTGTATATTTCTTCCAGCATTTTTGAAAGCTGCCAAAATAGTTTTTATTTGATTCCCACTCAAATTTGTTCACAGAACTTTTCAGAAACTACCTTCAGTTTTTATTTCTTGAATCCTAATTGCACCATGTTCTCTGTTTTTCAGAAGGAGGCAATTCACCTGCATGGACCACCTGGACAGAAGATTTCTACTCCATCAGGAAGAAGGGTGTTCATTTGCTGGACATATTGTAATTGATTCTATGTATTGGCATTTTTTAGTGTTTGAACCATTTTAAAAGTGCTTATTTCTTTAAAGTTTTGAAGATACTTTCTTTATTCATGTACTGTTTTGCAGAAGGAGGCAATTCACCTGCATGGACCACCTGGACAGAAGATTTCTACTCCATCAGGAAGAAGGGTGTTCATTTGCTGGACATATTGTAATTGATTCTATGTATTGGCATTTTTTAGCGTTTGAACTATTTTAAAAGTGCTTATTTCTTTAAAGTTTTGAAGATACTCTCTTTATTCATGTGTTGGATGTGGAGCCCTTAGTTTTCTTTTAACTCTTTAAGTCACTTATGTTTATAAAAATAGGAATCATTTCATGACCCATACATGCAGTATTCAAAAATGTTGTGAAGAATTAGAAAGAAACTCCTTGCTTCAATGCTCATATAAAATAACAGTAATTAAGACTTGCTGTGTGATTTTGGTTTCAAAGAAGTGTAAGTCCCAATTTAACTTATGTCTGCTCAGTTTTTTATTGCTGTCAATTTCCTGAAAAACTTGTGTTGTTGGATTACTTTAAAGAAACGCAAGTAGTTGACAGGATTTTCTCAAGATACAACTAACTGAAGTATGTTTTTTTTTCAGGTGAAGATGGTGGATCTATACAGAAAGAAGACTCATTCCTGGAATCAAGGGCCTGTGCAAATATTTTTTCATGCCTGCAAGAAATGCGCTGTACAACTATGTAAGGATTTTTTTTCATTAGTCCCTGCAGGTTTTTCATTTGAAGAATGTTGAACAAACTTTTTCTTTTCAATAGTCTCTGTGCAACAAAATTTTTGGCTTCATTGTGCATGGACTGTAGAAATTTTTACTTACAGTAACAAAAATCTAAAATATCCAACTTGCACATCATACAAAATTTTTATAAAATGAAATGATAATCTATTTTTTCAGGAAGTTTAGCCTTGGAAGAAGTATGAAGCTTGTTGCTTTTAGTAGAAACTATGTAGCTTTCTTTCAAAATTTAAAAAAGGGTTAATTTTCAAAAATACTGTTGAGTGTTGCATGTGATCCTAATTGCACCATGTTCTCTGTTTTGCAGAAGGAAACAAGCCAGCTCCATGGACCCACTGGACAGAAGATACACACTACATCAGGAAGAGTGGGGTTCATCATTTGCTGCCAGGACATCTTACAATTTATTGCATGTATTGGCATTTTATTGTGTTTGAGCCATTTTAAAAGTGCTGATTTCTTTAAAGTTTTGGAAAATATTATCTTTGTTCATGTGTAGGAGGCAGAGCTCTTATAGTTTCTTTAAACTCTTTATATCATTCATTTCCATAAAAATTGGAATCATTTAATGATGTATTCAAAAGTGTTGTCAAGAATGATAAACAGACTCCTGCTTCAAAGCTCATTAAAAAATAACAGTCATGTAGACTTGTTCTGTGATTTCAGTTTCAAAAAAGTGCATGTTCCAGTTTATCTTGTGTCGGCTCAGTTTTTTATTACTGTCAATTTCATGAAAAACTTGTCTTGTTTGAATGTATTTCCTTTTGTTTGTAAATAAAATCTACTTTTGAGGAAATTTCGAACTTTTTACATTTATTTGGAGAGGCAATAATGAAGGGCATGATGAACATGGGCTGCCCATGATCAGGGCATGTGCAAACCCATGATGACTACATGATGATCTTGGCTATTAGGACGTCCATGGGAAGCCCATGTTCATCATGCCCATGGTCATGGCATGAGGGCTTTCTGTAAGGGCATGTTCATCATGCCCCCCCTGGAAAA